AAAAAAAAAAAATGGGATATCTGAAGAAAATTATGGTGGAAACATCAAATCATTCTGTTCCCTCATTTTTTCACAATTAGCTCATAACTTATAAATAAGTGCAAAAGAAAAAATTCAGTCTGTCAACACTTAACACATCATGAAAATCTGAACTGTGGAACATGAAGAAATGGCATAGTAAGTACTGTAGCAGATGGAATGTCCATAGGAGGAAAGGACAGCATCTGGATATGTCGTCTGTTTGAACACAGCCCATCAGGGATGGTGTCTAAAGCTGTGAAGGAATTCTCATACAAGATAAGGCTTAAACTCAATTATTTTCTATCATCCATACATACATTCCATGTTTTGACTTAATCACGTCCTCAATATATACTCAGGAAAAATTAAAATAAAGCCATAATTTCTTTTGAAAAGCTGTTTTTCAAATTATCTCAGATTCACAATGATCTGCGCTCAGAAGGCAGAATCTAAGTCTTTGATTGGAAGGAATGTGAGCAGGACTAAGACAGAACGAGGCAGCTCACCACAGCCACAGAGTCAAAGGAACAGGTACATAAGAGGAAAGGACATTGCAATATGTCAGGAAAAAGAAAAACAAGTCCAGCACTATCTGATTATAAACAGGACAGTGGGTGGTGACTGTATATTAGTGTCTGAAGTGATGACTTAGGCAAAAAGAAAAAAAGTTGAATATCAGTTACTCACTCTGTGTCACCAACACTGCAATTGCCACCAACATAAGTGAACAAAAGACCCCGAGAGCCACTGCAATGAGACGCCAGGGCACTGAGCACTCTTAAATAAAAAGAAAGAAAGAAATCACCAGGGAAAGAGCACAGCCATGGGACATCATTGGAAACAATAATTTCTAAAAGTTTTACACAAGTCCGTCATTCAAAGTAACTGAAAATTGCAGATATCAGACTGACATTCACCCACTGTAGAAATCTTATACATAGGAGCAGTCTCATAGGATTTCAAAGTTTTTCTACTTTGACCTTGAACTCTCACTTCTCTTACTAAAAGTAGCTGGGGTGACAGGCATGTGTCCCTCACCAGTTCTACAGGATTTCACAAGTGTATCCTCTAGAAAGCACAGAAGACACAGACTTGATACATATAGAAGACCACAAACTGGAAAGTGCAGACCACCTGGATATCATGATCAAGTATGAAGGAAAGATCAATCAATATTCTTGAGAAACTGGAGCTGAACAGGAACAGGGGACCATTCTTAAAGGTCTTTCTAGAAGTTGACAATCTTTTCTTTTTCATCTATTGTAGTTTTCTCTAGTCAATACTAGATCCTTGTGTGTTTGATAGCTTTGGTGTCTGAAAATACCATCTCTCATTATCGTTACAACCAAGAAGTAAAAGTTTTCAATTTATAGTTTATGACCATATTGAAGTTTACACAGAAATACAGAATGGAAACTTGAGATGTACTGTTTTTAATTAATTCATTCATTTATTCTTTGACATTTTCATATGTGAGTAGTGTGTTTCAGTCACTTCTACCTCATCTCGCTTTCTCATCACCCCCTTCTGCTGAAACCATTCTTTTTCCCACAAAGAAACTTCCTCTTCTAATTATCTATTTTTGCTGCTTTGTTGCCTTAGAGTTTACTGACTATTTAAGACACTTAAAATATCTTCTTTTAGCACATAATTTTCATTTCTCTAAGACTGCTTCTCCAGAGCATTCACTGTTTCATCAAACTCTAGTTTGTTTTTTACATTTAAAGACTCCAAGAATTCTTTGACCAGATTTAACAAAAATATCCTAATGGTTCCTCAAATTTACAGAACTTTTCACTTAAGAACTTTTTTATTTTTTTTTGAGACAGCTCTCCCTGTTGCCCCAGCTGGCCTGGAACTCACCATGTAGACCAGGCTGGCCTTGAACTCACAGAGCTCTGCCTGCCTCTGCCTCCCAAATGCTGGGATTAAAGGCGTGTGCCACCACACCTGGCTCCAAAGAAATTTTATAAGAAAAAAAAAGAATACCAGTCTACTAGTCTACCTGTGTTACCAGCTGACAACCAGAAGTGCAGGTAGGATACTGTTCTCAAATGTCAGAAGTTTACAATGCAGAAGAAGCAGGTTAATTTGCAAGTTTAAAGCATTTACCTTTGTCTTTAGCTTCTCCAGGCCCTTGTGTTTCCTCAAGTCTTACTCTATTCTTTGATTCTGAAGAAGACTTAAGAAATCTCACAGTTGAGTAAGTCACTTCCTGGTCACTCATTGTGAGTACAAATGAAGTATGTTTCGTGTTAAAACCTTTCCTTGGATGATTTCTGGCCAGAGAAAAAGTTAAAATTCCAACCTTAAGGAACATACCAGGACTCGATGCTGCAGGGGGTTTCAAGGGATGGGGATTTATTAAGAACCTAAACTCTCTAAGTCATATAGATTCTGATTTATTCAAGATGAGAAAATCTTTTTAATGTTTCTGTTTAAGTCATTTATACTTCTATATGGCAATTATCCTTAGGAGCTATGAAAAGAATTAAAATTATTAATGAATCATTATATTAGTGACCAACCATTTTTCTCAGATTATTATATGATGTATGTTAGGCAAAATTGGTACTACCTCAAAATCACCGAAGCACTTTTAAACTATCAATGTACACATCTCTTGGGTTAAAGACTAAACACCTGTATTTTAAACCCCAAATGATTCCATATACATAATTACTTTGTGCATATTTTTCTAGTATATTATGTTGCCAGAGGCACCTATATGAAAATTAATTTTGTCAATAAGCAGTCAATAGTTAATGCTCATAAGGATCCAATCTGATAATCAAAATCAAGATATTATTAAATGGTAAACAGTTATAATATACCTTGCTCCTAATAAGTGAGATAACATGCAACAGATAATATGGGAAACAAATGGTACATTTAACAGTATTCTTTTCTGAGACTTCTAATTTGTGAAATTTATTCTAAACTTATCTATATTTCCCCTAATTTCTTCAGATACGGGAGTCTTTCACATTATGGAATTTCTTTTAAATTTATTATTATTACCATTATTATTTATTATTATTATTATTACTGGAGTATATGTGTCTTGGCATATATGTGGTGGTCAGAGAAAATCTTTATGGAGTCAGTTCTCTTCTTCCACATTTATGTGGCTTCCAAGGATCACATCTAGGTAACCAGGCTTGTGCAGCAAACATTTTAGCTCCTTGAGCCTTGTTACTCAGCCCCATTACAAAATTCTTCCAGGTGAATAAAACATAAATGATTTGATCCAATTGAAAAAACGACTCCACCAATCCCTCTTCCTTTAGACACAGCAAACAACTCAGCACACTGAGAAAGAGAAAATGGATTTCCATGAATGCTGAACTCCAGTTTTCACAGTTAATGCTGTTCTCACAGGGTCAATGAAGATAGATTTCCTGTCAGGCTCCCTCTCATGCCACACCATGTGGAATTCCCTAGAATAAGTAGGACCATGGGAGAGAAAATCTGAAGCAGACTTTACCTGTATCTCAGCCAGGCAGTGATGCAGGAACAGAGAACTGGTCCCCAGTGAGGACAAGCAGACTTTATGTCCTGAACCCCTCAGAGGCTTCAAAATGAAAGGCAGAAGCGCCTTGCCTCTGAGAGTTCCTCCAGCTCAAAATTTTCTGCCCCTCCACGTGACCAGTGAAAAGAGGAAATTATGCGATGAAAGCTCACAATGATTACATATTCCTCTATTCGAAATACCCATTTGATAGATGCCAAAAACATGTTCAAAATCATGTTCATGATCATGTTTAAGATCATGATCAAGACTGAGGAATGAAAAGATAAAGGAATGTATTTCCAAATACCCCCATTTTCCTCATTTCCCCCTTGGTAACATCTGTCTCCACTGTTCCCCTCTCTCAGGCTCTTTCCCCTTACCACCATGGTTTCCTTCTGTTTCCCTGGCTGCTGTGGTTACATCAGGATATATACTCAAATATAGGGTTTAGAGCTAAGATCTACAAATGAGAACATACATCGCTTGTTTTTAAAGCTATCTTTATTGACCCTGAGAGAGCAGCATTAACTCTGGGAAAACCTGTGTTACTCCACTTAGCATAACTTTCTACTTCCATCCATTTATAAACCTGCAAACTTCATGATTCGACTTTCTTTACCATTGAGTAGAATTCCATTGTATAAATGTCACATTTTCATTATCCATTCATCAGTTGAGGGACATTTAAGTTGTTTGTATTTCTTAACTACTGTGAAAAAGAGCAGCTACAAGCATGGGTGTACAAATATCCTTGCAATAGGATGAGTCCTTTGGGTATATGTCAAGGAGTGGTGTAACTGGATCTATGGTAAATTCATTTTTAGTTTTTTTTTTTTGGTCTTTTTGAGACAATGTCTCCCTGTAGCCCCAGCTGTCCTGGAACTCACTCTGTAGACCACACTGGCCTCGAACTCACAGAGATCCACCTGCTTCTGCCTCCTGAGTGCTGGAATTAAAGGCATGTGCCACCATGCCTGACTCATTTTTAGTTTTTTAAGAGTGCTCCATACTACTTTACATAGTGAAAAGTTGGCATTACCACCAGCAGTGAACGAGCATTCCCCTTTCCCCAGATCCTTACCAATATTTGGTATCATTTGTTCTCTTGGTCTTAGTCAGTCTGACCGGGGTAAGATGAAATCTTAAAGTGGTATTGTAACAAGAAACACAGTGCCAGACACAAGAAACCTCCATTCAAGTTGTTGGTCAGGGTAGTCCCAAAATAATACAGGCTATTTCCACGACCCTATTGCTAAGACAGGTCATTCTTCGAACGCAGGACTTAAAGAAAATGGAGCCGAAACTGACATGGACACGTCCTCCCTGAAGACTAGCTCTCGTAGTTTTAGAGGACACTATGCAAGCTACTAAGGAAGAATTATCAGCCAGTGGTCCAACCTCGGCTCTAAAGTCTAATAACCACAACAATGATCAGCACAGTAAACTATACCAGTGCAGTAATGGCACTTTTATCTTGGGGGTAATCCATAGCTATTAGACTAAAAGCCCACTTAAAGGGTGGGAACTCATGTGTTGCACTGTAAACATGGCCAAATACAAAGAAAATCTTAAATCTGTCACATCCCTAATGTAATTTCTTACTGTATGCTAAATATGTATCCTTATATTTACAGACAAGTATACTGGTCACCACTTATCAAAGAAGCTTCTTTTTGCAGCAGATGGAGACTATTATAGTACTCTAGAACTGGTCACACTACATACAAAACAGTGAGCTGCCCAGCCCTATGTGACATATCTACAATGGAACCTCTACACCTAAGGTTCACAGAACATAGTGGAACACAGGGGTAGAGAGCGAACTTACTAGTGCATCTCTCAGCTCTCACCAGTGAAGGTTCCTCATGCAACAGAGGGCGATGAACACAGCAGGCTACAACTAGCCAAAGTGTAGAGAGTAAGAGACTGCAGAGTGTGTGTGTCCCTGGATAAAACTCCGATTGAACTTCACCGACTCAGGGCTCAGGGACCATTGTAAAAGAGGGGGCAGAAAGCCTGTAAGAGCCAGGGGAGGAGGTACATGACCACAAGGAACAGGGTCTTGCAGGCTCCTGGGAACTTGCTCATATGAACTTACACCAGTGTGACAGCATGCATAAGACCCATGTAAACTCAATTAGACTAAAACCATAGAGCTGGAGGAATGGGCAGGCGGCTCCAACCTTATCCAAGGAACTATAGGCAGCTAATTACTGCTGCTTGAGGGAGAGTTTATCTTCTTTAAAGAAGTGATGGCAGCTGCTGGGCTTGGTGGCGCATGCCTTCAATACCAGTATTTGGGGGGTAGAGGCAGGCGGATGTGAGTGCCAGGCCAGCTGGGGCTACAGGAAGACCTTGTCTCAAAAAGACCAAAAGTGATGCTAGCTAGGCTGAGCAGGCTCCTGTGTATGAACTCACATGGAGGGACATCTGGTTACACAAACGTGACTTGATAGGCCTTAACATACATGACAGAAAATGCATGAAATCCTGTGGGCAGGCTATTGAGGGTGCAAATAGGGGAGAGGGTGTAAGTTATGATTAAGATGTATGAAATTCACAGAAATTCACCAAAAAATATACGTTAAAAAATTTAAACTTGGGGGTGCTGGAGGGATGGGTCAGTGGTTAAGAGCACTTCCTGCTCTTACAAAGGACCCCGGTTCCATTACCAGCACCCACATGGTGGCTAACAACCAACCACAATTTGTTCTAGGGGATCTGACACCCTTATGTAGGCACTGCATGCATAAGGTACACTCACATACAAGCAAAACACTCAGACACACTAAATAAAAATATTTTTTGACTAAATTTAAACTTTTTAAAAAATTTTATTTTTTAATTTTATGTGTATATTGCCTGCATGTATGTGAGTGCACCCGTGTTGTGCAATGCTGCGGAGGTCAGAAGAGGGCTTCGGATTCCCCTGAAACTGGAGTTAAGGGTGGTTCGTAGCCACCATGTGGGTGCTGGGAATGTAACCTGGGTTCTCTGCAAGAGCTCTTAACCATGGAGCCGTCTCACCAGCCCCCAAATTTAACCTTTTTATAGCTTTAGAAAGAGGATAACAATGGCTGTAAATTCAAATGGTATATCAAGTCTCTCTGAACTGTTTGCATGGAAAAGATAAACTTTGAATGAAGACAGCATCAGAAGCACATCAGATGGAACTGATGCAAACTCCCAATGTGCTCTTAGATCAAAATGCGAACTTTGAATGAAGACAGCATCAGAAGGTAACAGTCACATCAGATGGAACTGATGCAAACTCCCAATGTGCTCTTAGATCAAAATGCAGTCCAAGGTGGGAAGTACCAAACCTTATCAAACCAGGTAATAAAGCAGGAAGATGAAAAAGCTGAAGACTGTTTTAGTTATTTGACATTTTTCTTCCAAATTCATTTTAAAAAATGTTTTATTATTTTTGTGTATGAGTGTATTGCCTGCATGTAAACTCAGTTGTGTTGTGCAATGGCCGCAGAGGTAAGAAGGGGGCACTGGATTCCCCTGGAACTGAACTTTCAAACAGTTTTTACCACCATGTGAGTGCTGGGAACTGAACCCAGGTCCTCTACAAGAGCACCCGATGGTTTTAACTGCTGAGCCATCTCTCCAGCCCCCAAAATTCATGTTTTGTGAAAAAAAAACAAAATACAAACGTGAACACATATTCATTTTATGGCTTCTTTGCTCCACAATCCTTTTTGATTTGGGAAACCACAAGTGAAGTGCCCACTCCTGTGTTACAAGACAGCTGCAAGCTGTGCTGTTCTAGCCGCATGTTCAAACCTGGTTACAGCGTACACCTCAGTGGCTTGATCATTCCACAGCTGCAGCTGCTCTTCATGTCCCAGGCTGAGGTAAGGTTCTGGAATAACCACTGGCTTACAGGGAAGGTGGTCTGAATCAGTGTTCACTGAGAAGAGGGTAGCTTCCAGACTGCTGGTTCATTTATTTGAATGACTACCTTTCATAATATGGAAATTTCACAGCTCTTACAGCAAAAAACAAAGAAGCAAAACTATTTTGAGGTTTCCTGTGCTTCTAACCACCCTGTTTTTCCTAGTTACAATCACAGATATTTTACCACCTCACATTATAATGCCCCACCTATCTTGTCCTCACTGGGCTTCAGGCAGTGAAAACAGTAACTATGTGAAAAGACACTTCAGCAACTCAAGAGTAATAAAAGAATCCCCCAAAATGGTTTCAGATGGGTATTTTGGCACTGTGTCACTAAGAGATAAAAATCAATTTACAGGTTTAAAAGATGTTTAATCTAAGGACCATCTGTCCCCAGACATGTTCAACTTGGATTCTCTTGTTCAACAGGTACCTCAGAATGGTTTCTTAATTAAGAGCCAGTAACTGTGAGCACACCTGATCCAGGAATAGCTGTCCCTCTTTGTCGTTGGGTTAACATGAACAATGACATGCTTTATACTGTGCATTCACTAGGTCTGTCCCTTGAACAGAAATACTCATTTTCACAGAAGAAACATGAAGGTTATATGTTGTCTTGCACAGTGATAGAAATCAACCGACTTTCCACAGCAAAACTGGAGAATGATCATGCATTTTTGAACAGCAAAAAATGACCGGCTGGTGTTCTGTGGCAAACAGGCTGCAAGTCAGGATCTATAGCTACCAAAGCCATAGCATTGTGAGTACCTAAATTAAATTAAATCAAAATTAAGTAATGCACACACACACAACATACACACCCCTACTAATAGCTCAAGTGAAAAACCAACAGATGGCTTATCATCAGACTTTTGAGTCTAGATTGGATATTGTAACTGATCTCTGCAACAAGTCATTGTAACTGCCAGAACAGAAAAACACTATAGATACAGAGAGAAACAAACACACCAGCAGCACTGCTAACAAAACAATGAAATGTTGGAAAGACGCTCAAAGGACCAGAGAACCTGGAACGGGTCCTGTTTGAATTAGAAGTCAAAAAATATTCACGTACAATAGATAGTTAAGATTAAATTTTATATAATCCGTAAAGCTGGAATTGAGCTCACATACACACAGGAATAAAGGCATTATCAAAGTTCTGACTGTGGTCTTTCAACATTTTGGGAAATTATCGCTTATGGCAAAAATTATCTCTGGGGAGATTTTTATTAACGTTAAAAAAAACCCTCAAATCTCCTGAAAACAGCTTCTAGAAGCATCACAAAATTAAATCCTACCAATAATGGAAGAAATAAGAGAATCCCTGAGGGTGCTGCTCAGATGGAGGCTTGCTTTGTGTTTCTCCTGGAAGAACATCCTACAAGCTGTATCTGCTGGAACAAGTGATTATCTTGATATACCGTCAACAAATACAACACAAAAACCATCCTATCCAGGTTTTGACATGTTTTATTAGAGCAAAATTTCAACAAAAAATGGCTTTTATTTACAGAATTCATTGTATGTGGCACTGCCTAACCCAGCTGGATCCAAGAGATGAAAACTCTTCACTTTTTTTCATATATTAAATTTATATATAAAAAAGTTTCACATTCATAAAAAAAATCACAAAATTTTCAATAACAAAAACCCTTCCTGACCATCCCTTAGTTAAATATATAAATAATTTCAAAAGTATACAGTTTAAATTGGTTTAATCTTGAAGTGTAGTCCAATGAGACTGAAAACTAAGCATTTCAAGTCCTGCACCAAATAGTAAAATACACGAAGGCCTTCAGGATCCCTAAAATTTAAAAAAGTAAAAGTTACTTTCTGTTCCTTATGTTCAGTATTCTATAAATTCTTAAGGCAAAAGAAAAACAAACACTGTTAACAACTAACCATATAGAATTTAGGAGAAAGGAACACAACACTGTTAACAACTAACCATATAGAATAGGAGAAAGGAACACTTAACACTGTTAACAACTAACCATATAGAATAGGAGAAAGGAACACTTTCGGTGAGAACCAAAGGGAACATTTCCATCTTTCTGTAAGGAAAACAGTTCTTCACCAGCATTTGTTTTCAAGTCCGTATCTCTTTATGGAAAGTCATTGTTATACATCACAAAAAATGTATAATGTAGAAGAACAAGACTCATAACATGTTGATGCTACGACACTCACAACAGTGATACTCTTGGGAGTTTCTATATACAATTTCATATTACCTTTTCCATTGTATAAAAGAAAGGGAAAAAAACCACTTTGCTAATAATTTTTTGCTAGCCATTTTGATTATTTCCAATTATAAGTAATGCATCAATCATCATCTTCATACATAATAAAGCTATTTCTATATATGAAATTGTTTTCTAGAATAGAAGCTCAAATGAAATTACTAGGGGGATAATGGTGAAACGTCAACATCTAACGTATTTTATCCAATTGCTCTCTAAAAAGAAGTGCACTGATTTATAATCCCAGCAGAGTATGAATGTTACACCCTCACTAATGTTCCTGGAGGAACATGCATTTAATAACTTTAAGGCATCTGGCTGCTCTCTGTGAACACAGGTGTCCAGTAATTATGATGCATTCATCCCTTTCCCCTTCCTCTGCTAAGCAGTTATATGAAGTGTCCATTATGTATTCGGCACTATGCTAACTCTGCAGCTAGGGCAAGGGTCTCACACAGCGTGTACTCAGAGCATCAAGCACTCATGTAAGTTATGATTTAGAGCGCTAAGAAACAATGACAGCAAGATGGGGACAGTCTGAAAGGAGCGTGAAGAAAGACCTTGGGTCAGCAAAGACAGCGGCGTGAAAGCACGCAGGTGGCTAATAACACAATGTCTGCCGTTTTTCTGAAGTGCTAAACCCAAGGAAAAGTATGATACATTATGGGGTTCATGAGGCTGATGTAATCCAAACATTTCTTCCTTTTCATTTTGCGACACTAGACACACAATTTTTTTAGTACAAAATGTCAAACAAAAATTGAGCATTATTATGTACAACCCCTAACTGGGTTTTTTACAAAGTGAAATACTCTGGTAATCACTTTGACAAACAACATCATACTATATAATGTTATCAATAATAGCTTATACTCAAAGTGTAAAGCACACAAGCAAGTTACAACTTAGGTAAGCAAGTTACAATAATGTTAAAGATAATTGTTTAATGACTTAAAGATCACTAAATATTAACATGATCGGAGACCACTGAAGTAATCTGGTTAACACTGACTACAGTTCTAAAATGAGCCTCTCTAATGAATTATATCAACTTAGTCAAAATGCTTCAACATAACTTACTTTGACTGATTTACGTCAATAAGAGAACCTATTTTTGATGTGGTAAAAGAAATGTGTTCATCACCAATTACAATTTCAAGCTCCTGAAAACAAAAGCAGCAGAGAAAAAGCATTAATAAAAGCAACCTGCCCAGAGATTTCTATATTCGTGTTACAAAATTGTTCAAACTGCTGAAATTTTTTCTAGCATTTAATAGAGGAGAGGGAGGGAAAAATTTAATCTTGGCCAAGCATGGTGGCACATGCTCATACTCTTATCGCTCGGGAGGCAGAGGCAGGAGGAATGCCTCAAGCTGGAGGCCAGCCTGGTCTATACACAAGTTCCAGAGCAACCAGGGATATGTAGGGAGAGACTGTCTCTAAAAGCCAGAAGAAATTTAATCTGCTATACCGAAAGTAGACCCTCTTAATGTAAAAACTTTACTGACTGCTCATAAACACTGTTCTCAGCTTCAGGACCAACCAAGAACTGCTCTCTAAATCCATCATAAAAAGGCTATAAAATAAAATGGCACAGAAATGTTTCTTATGATGACAGTAAACAGGAGACCTGCCACGATAAAGCACAACATAAAAAATATAAATATAAAACTACTTTAAATAAAATAAAACATTTTCTGTTTAAGATTCTTCAAATAAAATATATGACACTAACAATAGCTGCAAACACAATCTGAAGTTCCTAAAATAGCTGTAGAAGGGGATATGGTAGTCTTTACTAGCCTTAATATACAAATGTATAATCCCCAATTCATAAAGCACAGGGAAACATACCTTGATATCAGTGACCACTAGTGATACCACTACTTCATCAGGACTATAAGACTTTTTTTTTAAAAAAGTTTTATTTTGTTTTCTTGTTTTACACAGGGTCTCACTATGTAGCCCCAGCTGTCCTGGAACGCTGTATGTAGACCAAGCTGACTTCAATTTCAAATTGCAAAGAGACCCACCTGTCTCTGCTTTTTGAGTGAAGGGATTAAAGGCATATACCACCACAGCCAACTTAGGGTTTTTGTTTGTTTTGTTTGTTTTTAATTTTATGTGTATGAGTATACTGTGTGCATGTGACTGCGCCCATGTCATGCAATGCCCGAGGCGATCAGAAGAGGGTGTTGAATCCCTGGAACTGGAGTTATGGACAGTTGTTAACTGCCATGTAGGTCCTGGGAATCAAACCCAGGTCCTCTGCATGAGTAGCCATTACTCGTAACCTCTAAGCCCTCTCCAGTCCCTAGAATAATACTCACAAATTCAGTGAAAACTAAGAATTTATGAAACAAATAAAATACAGTTGTTCTTCTTCCATCATACAAATTTCATCTATGTTGTTTAGATACAAATCTAAAACTTATTAAGGAGCTTTATCTTTAATGAATTAAATTAACTAATTAAGATAAATAAGCAGCTCCACTAAAGACAGCCCCAGCTCTTTAATCGAAAAGCCCAATTATGTAGTTTATGAGCTCCAAAAAACTGAAAAATAGCTAAGATTTTCTAAAAATCAAGTTTTTGGTTCAACGATCTGACAGCAGTTTCTAGAGGGGTCTTGATGCTTCTTCTCACCAAGAACCCATCACCTGGTGCATGCACAGATGAGAACACTGAGCTCTCCCCAGTCTGCAGGGCATAACTCTTTAGTTGCTGTCGTTTCTGTATTTCAGTACATAAGAACAAATGTGTAAAACAAACTCAAGTCTACATTCACTCTTTACTGCTGTGCCTCTCGATAAATACTGCGCCACCTTCCTTTCCTACATCTCGCTTCTTCACAGACAAAAGCTGCTGCTACTGAGGGCATGTGTTAGATTCCTCCAGGCTTTCTTCTAGCCAGAGAAAGTAAGTGATATAAGGGGAAATCCTCAGAAACATACAAAGTGAATTAAATGTTTCTACCTTCTGGGCCTTCTATCTTGTTTTTCCAAAATTGAAAAGGCCCAATTCAGAAACTAAACTGCCTTTCTAAAAAGTGAAATGAAGCTTTAGAGTTCTTCAGATGCCCTGTGAGAAACATCAATTACTCTGAAGAGGAGGGGCAAACACAAAGGTCAATTTGAACAAAGAAATCAATCCTCCCGAACCTTCCTCTCGGGCATACAAATACAAGAATTATGAAAGTTAAAAAAACTAGAGAATGTGAATTATGTATACTCATGAGAACCAAGTCTCAAATTTAGTCAATAATGTCGTACTTATTCCTCATTAGTAGCTAACATACGACAGAAATGATTCCTAAGTGTCAAAGCAACCTAACTTTGGATGGAGTGGTAGAGAAAGCAGTGTCTGGAAAAATGTCCAGATCTAGAGCTATGGACTACCTCACCTACTGGCTGGAAGGAACGTAGACTATGAAACTAAGTAAGGGCTGGGAGGTGCAATTCAGGTAGAGCGTTGGCTTGGCTTGCATGTATGAACCCCGAATTCAATCCCCAGTACCACAAAAATATTAAGTAAAACAAAAAAATGAAGTGATCAAAGAATCAACAAAGAACTATCCTAAATATATAAAAGGAAACATAATAATTACATTATCAATTTAACAACTATGCATTTCAAGAATTACTAAACACAGACCTGCCGGCCAACCCTGTCAGGGGGTGGCCACAAAGCATCATCCTCTTTTGTAATTTCACTGTCGTCAATAATTCTCTTGAGTTCTTCCATTACACTCTTGTGGACATATGCCTAAAAATCAGTCACAATAAAATTTTATCATGCCAATCTGTCTCTTTCTACAACTCATCAAGATATGATAAAACTGAGTTAAAAATCCTGATAGAATACTAGAGAAAAGCTGAACTGATTCCAAAACTGCAGGATGAGAATTATCCATCCTTCTTATGAGTGTGACTTTCCTCTACTCGCCTGCCCGTTAACATACACTTTGCCCTCTTCTCATCACTGGCCCTGTTAAGACCCCGTATCCGCCTGTGCAGCACGGAGACTCAAATATCTCCACATGGTCAATGGAATAGCGTAAGGTCTAGAAAGTGAAGGGGCAAATACACATCTGCTGGTACTCTGAACTTAGCCCAAGCTTTCAAGTCTTTCATTCCGGAATCATGCTGAGTTTATAATTACATTTATCAAGAAGTTTCATAGTGAACAGACTAAAAGTATAAAATTAATTAAATGATACGGGGTATCAAAAATAAAAGTTAAAGCCTGGCAGGCATGGTGGCATAGGCGTTTAGTCCAGTACTCAGGAGATAGAGACAGGAGGATCTCTGTAAGTTCTAGGCCAGTTGGGACTATAAGTCCCAACTTATTCTTTCTAAAGAAAGAATCAATTGCTTCATGTTGTCCCCGGACCTCCACACAAGCATCTATGGCACACGTGCACCTCCCCCAACACAAAAGAAATAAATGTAAAAAATTTTTAAATAAAAAATTCTACAATCTATCTAATTGAAACAGAAACTTTTCAATCTATAAATTGGTTTCTTTTTTGAAACATAGCCTTAGATGAAGTTTTGTGAACACAATACAGACTTGAAATGAACTAAGTGTGAAAAATTAGACATTTGGAAAAAACTTACCTCTTTTCTGATCATGACATCATTTTTGTAATTGCTGTTGTTGGCATATCTAAGTTTTCCTATGGGGGGTAGGGGAAAAAGCCAATCAGTAACAGCAAAAGAGAAAAACTGCTTAGAAAAAGAGCAAGAAAAGGGGAAGATGAATACTGTGGGCAACCTCTCCCCCCACCCCCAGGGCCTCACCATGATGAGCCCCAGCTGGCCTGGAACTCACTATGTAGACCATCCCAGACTGGCCTCCATCTCACAGAGATCACATGCCTCTACCTCCTGTGGGCTGGGATTAAAAGCCTGTGCTGCCACACCTGGCTACTATAGGCAACTCTAAAGGTAAAGACAATTGACACTACTACTTTTATTAGTATGTCCTCCTTCAGCATGTAAGATCAGCGCCAGACAATAAATATTTGCCAGTATGGGTGAAAGTAGACTAGCAAACTTTAAAAAATATTCCACGTCTCTCTCTCCCCTCTCTGTTTGTGTGTCTCTCTGTCTCTGTCTCGCCACCCCCCCACCATCCCACCTCCTTCCTCCGCTCACCATCTGGTCTTCGATAGGTCATTTGAAGGGTCTATTTTCTTAATGTAAACCACGGGCTAAAACGGACTCTGAGAAGCATCTAGCATTTCTCTTCAAGTTGGATATACGTTGGTGCTAAATGCCTTATTCACATCATTTCACCTAATCTCTACAAAATTTATGAACAGCAGGTTTCATTTTCTGACCAATGAATGAGACTTAAGCAACTTTCTCCAGATCACACAAAGACGTAAGAGGTCTACTTTGCTCCAACAGTTCCTCTACTATACCAAAAGGCTCTTTTAATTATTTTTCTTCAAATTAATGTACATATAGTTATGGTAAGACTGTTTTTTTCTTTTAGAATTATGACTTGGAAGCATACAAAGTATGAGCCGCTGATAGCAATGCCTACTTTATGAGCTGATTTATTTCAGTGTATCATGACTTCTCCCCAGTGCATGCTTCTCTCCCTGTGGCTAGTCAGTCAGGTGCCCAGATATAGCTGTGATAGTCGTGATCTGCTGAAATGATCAGCTCCCCTAACGAGGTGCGCCCCTCAGGAACTGTAGGTTTTGTGGCTCGTGATTTCCCATGTAAGTGAAATGATGTGGTGGCAGAGATGAAGGAGAGGCAGTTCATGCACAAAACTTCCCTGAAGCATTAGAGTTTATTTGTGTTACTGAGAGTGAGAGAGCCAAGCTGCACCAGGTTCATAGGCAAGGAGTGAAAACAGAATTACAGATGAGACAAAAACAAGAATAGCCAAATTAAATTCAGTTAAGTTTGCTCCTGAATAAAGTTTAGGAAAGATATGGTTTTCGAAAGCAAGGGTAAAGTCATCAAGGTTTCTAAATAACTGCAGGAGTAGTTACCGGGACTTCTTAAAATGCTTGACACCTTTTAAATATAGGATCCTCTACCTTTTTTATGCTCTCAAAGAAACTTGAGATATTAATATTAATATCTGTAGTTTTATGGTCAGTTAAATATGCCTCTATCTCCTAAGTCCTTGAGGTTAACTAAGTCATATTCATTATTGTACCACCTTCAATTCTGATATTTAAATATTGCCCAGTACATAATGTACATTCAAAAATAAAAATCTCAGCTAGCTGTGGTGGCTCACTTTAATCCCAGACAGCGCTGGGGAGGCAGAGGCAAGTGACTCTCTGTGAGACCAGGGCAGCCTGGTCTAAGTAGTGAGTTCTAGGCCAGCTGGGGCGGCAGGGAGATCCTGCCTCAAGAAAAAAAAATAAAAAATAAAAAATAATAAAAAAATCGGGTCTGGAGAGATAGCTCAGCGGTTAAGAGCACTGACTGCTCTTGCAGATGACCCAGGTTCGATTCCCAGCACCCACATGGTGGCTACCAACTGTCCTTAACATCAGTTCCAGGGGAATCCAAAGTCCTCTTCTGACCTCTGTGGGCACTGCACGACAGGGATGCACCCACATACATGCAGGCGATACACTCATACACATAAAATAAAAAATAAAATTCTGTGCAGCTAAACTGCCCTTGCTTGTTATAAGTAACAAGGATTCAGAGCTCTCGGAAGAGGGACCCCTGCTCACTGCTGCTTTGTCTGGTTCTTCCTTCCCTCAGAAGCCAAGAAAATTTCTCATTTCAATAATCATCTCACGTATCTCCTCCTCTAGAAGCTTTTGGTGACACACCACTTCGCTGCGGTTGTATCTTTAACGCATCCTACGTTAAAGAATCCACCCACAAGCAGCCATAACATGCATAGCCCGAATGAATGAGCAGAAGAAAAAGGTCACCCAAAGTCTTCCAGCATCCACCGGGGCATCCCTTGGTAACTGATCTTCACAAGGCTGAAGCGCTGGGGCTCTATCAGAGCTCTGAATCCCATAGGTACAACTTTTCTGAATTACTTTACAGCAAGCCACTCTCTTTCACAAAAACACCTTAGGCCTCCTACACACTAAAGCTCTTCTTGACTTGGACTGAAATCATTCAAATTCACCAAGGAGTGGGGCGTGGTGACACATACTTGTCATCCCAGCATCCTTGACGGTGAGGAAGGGTGATCAGGAGTTAAAGGTTAGCCTGGACTACATATGGAATCCCTGTCTCAAAATTAAATAGGTAAAAAGAGAGAAGCAGAAAAGAAAAAAACTTCCGCCTCCCCCCACCCCGCTCTTTGTGTGTGTCTCTCTCTGTCTCTTTCTGTCCCAGTCTCTCTGCCCCCTCCGCCTCTCTGTTCTGCGTGTCTGTGTCTCTATCTCTGTCTCTGTCTCCGTCTCGGTCTCCCCCGCCTCTCTGCTCTTCGTGTGTCTCCGTCTCTGTCCCGAGCCCCTCCCCCTTCCGCCGCTCACCATCCGGTCGAAACTCGAACTCCAGGAACTCGTGCCCGAACTTGCCCTTGTGGCCGACGTAGTAGCGCAGGTAGAAATCACTGGCCATGGCCATTTTGGCTGCCGGGAAGCCACCTTAAAGCCCGCCGCACGTGCCTCCCGGTGCAGGGCAGTGACGTCAGAGGCGCATGAAAACCTCGTCACGTCCAAGGGCGGCCCCCTGGCCCGGGACTCTCCTGGGAAAAGCTGGAAAGCAGCGGTGTGGAGAAAAGCTTAGCTCTAGTGGCTGGCAGTGACGCTTCGCTTTACCAAGTTATGAAGCTCGGTGCTTTTATTTCGGAAATAATATTTAGCGGAGTGTGGTGGGCTCGCCTTTAATCCTAGTACTCGGCAGGTAGACGCGGGCGGATGTCTGAGATGGGGACAGCCTGGTCTACATAGCGAGTTCCAGCTCCTCTCCTGGTCTGGGAGCTGCCCCCTTGGTCCACCTCTTCCAGCAGGGCTCTGGGGCCTGTACTCTGGTACTGACAGCCAAGCAGCTCCTGCACAGCCTAGCAACCCCCCCCTCCTTTTTTTTTTTTTTTTTTTTTTTTTTTTTTTTTAAAAAAAAAAAAAAAAAAAAAGAGGACGATAAATCTTTCACTGTGATATATCAAAATAAGGTTCCTCTGTAAGAGCCCTCAGTGCTCTTAACCGCTGAGCCATTGCCACCACGCCCGGCTTTGGTTTGGTTTTGTTTTGTTTTGTTTTTGTTTTTGTTTTAATGGCCTTGGAGGGGGGCTTTGGTTTTGTTTTGTTTTGTTTTTGTTTTTGTTTTAATGGCCTTGGAGGGAAAGTTTGAAAACCACTTTTACTTTCCAATGTCATGCGATGTGGGTGTGCCTTTTTATGTGTTTAGAACTAAGATTTATAAGCAGCCTTTACTCCAGGGATCTTAACACCCATTGTAAAGTGGGCGTGGCTCTACTCTGTAACTGGTGAGGTAAGTAAAGGTACATTCCAATGACAAGCCTGGAGTACAGTCAACCTGATCCATTCCTTTCTGAGTGTTTTGGACAATGCTTGGTAGTTATCCGGCAGCTGAAAGCCGAGACTAGACAAGTTCATCAGACAAAAAGCTTGATGTTGGGAAAGCAAATGAAACAGAAAAGCCCTGACGGTCATCATAGAAGTAGTTTTGTTGGGTTGGTTGTTTGCTTGATTTTTTGTTGTCTGGTTTTGAATGTAAGGTCTCCCTGTAGCCCAGTTGGCCTGGAACTCACCATGTAAACCAGGCTGCAGGTCAATCTAACAGAGATCCCCCTACCTCTGCCTCCCAAGTTCTGGGATTAAAGGGGTGTGTGTGTGTGTGTGTGTGTAAAATGTTTTTTATTAAACTTGTGAGTTGTGAGTCACTTTATCTTTAGGGGTTATTGTTAGTGCCCTGTGTACCTCTGACAATTTAAGATCAATGGGCTAGGCCATATCTCTTGACAGTTTAAAGTGTAAAACTCAAAGAATCTTCCAGTGTGGGATAAGTTTTAAGAGCGGTAGCAATGGTGATCTTTCAGAGTCCACTTTTCAAGTATTCCTCATCTTTCTATTACCAACATTTGGAGTAATTTTGTCTGATGATTGACAATGTTCAGTGATAACCATTAGAAACAGAATTTAGTCTCAACTCTGTCACCATCTAACCTTGGACAAGTTATCTCTAAGCCTGTTTGATCATCAACCAAATAGATGTACTTCAACCAACTGTGCCAAGCACAGAATTGAGGAAATTAAGATATATCTGATAAGCTTTGAAACTTCACAGTGCTTCACTAGTATTTCCTCTGTGCCAGAAACAGATGGGCCTTGGTAATAAAAAATGATCCATTTGCACTTGTAGACTAAAAAGACAGGAAGCATGTAAAACAAACATCAGCACAGGGAAGTAATTGGTAAAGTATTAAATATATAATAAAACCTATCAGTATAGTACAAAAGAACAAGTTATTTTATTGCAGGTGGAGTTTGACATTTGTAAAAGGGGGAGTGTCACAGAAGACTTGTGAAAGTTGTATTCAAATTGGACTTTTTGATGAATAAATTCTGTGAATGTTCAGCAGCATGGAAAAGGGGTCCAATCTGTATATTGGGGAAAGCCAAGCACACAATTTATACAGTAGAAATTAATAAATAGCTAGACTGTAAGGTTCATGGAAGTGAAATAACTGGAAAGGCAGGCTGGGGCAGGTTATCTGGAGTTCACTTTAGGAGTTATGTAAATTTACTATAAAATTTACTCACGCAGTAGTGGTATAGACTGCTCTTTTTTGGAAAATACATCAGAAACATAAAGTACCATGACCTACCACTAGGATAACTCATCACTCCAGTTTTCCAGGGTTGTGGAGTTTCCTACGATGTGAGATTTTTGATTTTAACCTCTGGAAGAATGCTATTTACAAGAGTAATTCACAGAAATAAGCAATATTCCATAGCATCTGTGAAAATATCAGCTAAAATCCATTTCACTGAGGTCTACAGAAAGACATTCAGGATCTTTAGATTCCCTATGCATTTTTGGCTCATGTACCATGTTCATCTTCCTAAATAGACCTGTAGGTATGAGAATCAGAGATTATGTAAACACAGTGCAGAGTGCCCACAGTACTAAGACCTTTGTAAGTCACCCACCATTGCCTTAGTCCCCTGGAAATGATTTATATTCAGACTTGTCCTCTAGAATCCTACATATTTTGAAGCTATTTTAAGGTAAAAAAAACAAAAAGAAAAAAAGAAAGCCAAACTAAGACCTCTTGCAAAAGCAGAAATGATTTATATATTTTGAAGCTATTTTAAGGTAAAAAAAAAACAAAAAGAAAAAAAGAAAGCCAAACTAAGACCTCTTGCAAAAGCCTCTGTGTTTTGTGTTTTTTTAAGATGGTATATACCAGGGATGTGGGAACATGTCTTGTTTACCAAGCATTCAAAATGTAACAAGTGAGGTTGAAGAAACTTAGTTCTCAATTCTGATGAATTTATATTAATTTTTTTCTATTTTTGTGAATGAGTGTATTGCCTACATGTAAGTGCACCTATGTCATGCAATGCACACAGAGGTCAGAGGAGGGCATCAGATCCTCTGGAACTGGAGTTACAGATGGTTGTTAGCCAATATGTGGGTGCTGGGAACTGACCCCAGGTCCTCTGCTGAGCCACCTCTCCAGCCCCTTATATGAATGTTTAAATATCACCTATGGCTAGCAGCTCTCATGTTGGTTGGCATAGTCATGAAATGAATATTTCAAATGACTTTAGTTGAACTGGAAGTAAAGAAAGTGTCCTGTGAATAGTTTCCAGTCTCAGTTACAGTAGGTTCCATATTAGGGTCTAATTACACATCACCACAGTTTGATTATGGAAATAACTATTTGATCTGCTTATGTGAGACCAAAGTACACCTACCTTTGCTGACACAGTGGCCAGCTTCAAAGCACCTGGTGAAGTTGCTCTGAAGTCAGTAAGCATCATTGTTACCTCCTGAAAATGAGGACTTCACTCTGCAATGAGATATTTGTTGGAAAATCTTTGCTTTCCACGGTTTTACTTCTTCGTTTGCATTATTGTGAACCATGCTAATGGACTACAGTCAGACATGATTCTTTGTGTGTTCTGGTTTTTGCTTTGTTTTGTTTTTTATTTATGTGTGACAGGATCTCATGTAGCCCAGGCTGGCCTTAAACTCGCTGTGTAGACAGTTTTCCTCTTGAATTTCCTGCCTCTTAACCCCATGCTAGTATTACAGGTGTGCACTCCACACCTGGCTGTTTTAGACAGGATTATCCCTTGAAGATGTTCATTTTATCTTTTAATGCTCTGCTTTTTTTTCCCCACTTCTAAAATTCTGTTCTTTTGAACTCATCTCCTCTGCCCATCTACTTCTTTTTGCCTCCCTATCTAAAGTGATTGAATTACTCTAATTTCCAATTTTCAGAAACATTTTCTAACTATTATGATAAACAGTAGAGGATAATCTGGTTTTTATAGCAGTAATTTTGACTTGTTTTATAAATTTATAGAATCAAAAGTCAGAGCTATCTCATTTTGTAAAATGAATCTGAGCAGCAATTGTAGTATGCACTCAAAAAGAACATACTGAGTTTGGAAAATTTTAAGAAAGAAAAGCCCGAATGTGGCTGCCTCTTTCTGCCCATATTCCACCCATCCAGGTTTCTCTGTTTTTCCATCATAGACTTCTTGTGAATTTCCGTGCTTCTCTTTTTGCTACTCAGTATTGATGATTTGAGTAAGAAAATCACTGTCATACAGAAACACCAAACTCCCTACACCTCTGAGTGTCAGGATTCTAGTTTATCATGACATAACATGGGCCAATGCATTATTCAGTATAGGGATTTTTGGAATATGTGGCAATATGACTAAACACATAGCGTAACTTGTGACTTATGTTCATACAAGTAAACACAGTCATTAAAGGTAAAGGCTGCCTTGTGGTCTTTCATTTCGTTTCCCCCCCTTTTTTTCTTTTTATCTCACTGAGTACAGTAAAGCATTTTATAAATTATTATAATAAGAATGAGAAACTTCATCAGTGTACACAAATAATGCTGTTAACTTTTTTTTTTTCACTTAAAATGATGAAATCAGGGCTGGAGAGATGGCTCAGCAGTGCACACTGTTCTTACAGAAGTTTTGAGTTTGTTTCCCAACAAAACATTGAGCGGCTCACAACCAACTACCTGTACCTCTAGCTACAGGGAATACAGCACCCTCTTATGGCCTCCATGGGCCCCTCACTCACATTTACATACCTACCCACCCACACATACACATTATTAAAAATAAATCTCTTTTAAAATGGTAAAAAGAACACTGTTACTCAATTTTACTAGCAGAATATATCTAAATCTAACATGAAAGCCAGTGGCATCTGCCTGACATGATTCCCATGCTGCTTGGGATTATTCTGTGTTAATGTAGACTGTTAACTTTTCCTTTGACACTTCATCCAGGCTGATCCTTGCTTAGTTCCTAACTGTCAGAATCCATTTTATTCATAAAGCAGATTGGAAAGGCTAGGCTAATCAAAACAATACACTCTGTCTGGGATGTACATGATTAAAAAGTGAAGATTTTAACTCTCTTTTCCATCCTCTAGTTCAGAAATACCTACTTTGGCTGGTAGAGTCAAAGATGCCAGATATAAAAACTTAGAAATACAATTCTTTTAGATAAGTCCTAGACATGTGGGGGAAACACTTAGATTTCTTAGAGTAAACTCATGCCACCCAGTTTTTCAGACATGTATCCAAAAAGGCAAACAAAATCAGAGGTAGATTTCTAAAATACCTGTTGTTTGCTCATTTTCCTCCTTCCAAAACAGACATTAGCAGGTCATATGAAGGAGTCGCCCTCCGTTCCATTGAACTACATCTTTAACCTCCTGTGCCACAGTCCCATGGGCCCTCATTATGTGCTGCTTTTTTTTCTTATTATTAAGGTTTTATTTTCTACATATGTGTGTATGTGTACATGTTTGCATGTTCCTGTTTGTGTTCATGTGCATATGAGTGCAAAATATGCATGCCACCGAGATGTATAATAGTCAGAGGATGATATCTGGTGTCTGTCCTCGCCCTCCACCTTGACTCAGGGTCTCTTGTTCACCACTGCATCAGACTAGACTGGGCTGGAAGCCTCTGGGGATGCACCTGTCTCCACCTCCCATCTCATCACAGGCGTGCTGGGGTTACTGGTGTGTGCTACCACATCCAGCTTTCTGTGTGGGTTCTGGGGATCCAAACTCCACTCCTTACATTTTTATGGCAGGTTCTTTACCTACCAATCCATCTCTCTGGCCTCCCACTAGTTTTTCTTGCCTCAAAGTTTTCACACAGAATCTCACACCTGAAGGGGGTTCTTTTCACTCTGTCTGTGGCTTCTCTACCCATTCCCAAGGTCCCAGTTTGAATGCTGATACTACGGAAGGGTCTTCATTTTGTACTCCCTTCTATGATCTTGTAGTTTCCTTTATAACACTTAACATAGTTTGTAATTAGCAGATAAATACATAATGTCTATCACCTGGAAAACAGTATGCAATGCTCCCTGTTTTACTTTGTTTTATCCAACATGTAGCCCATTAACTAGCACTGCAAGCTTGAATACATTTTTTTTTCTTTTGGTCTTTTTGAGACAGAGTCTCCCTGTAGCCACAGCTAGACAGGAACTGGCTATACAGACCAAACTGGCCTTGATCTCACAGAGCTCCACCTGCCCCTGCCTCCCTAGTGCTGGGATTAAAGGCATATGACACCATACCTGGCCTTTAATGCTTTTTTTCAATATCCAAGTAAGTACTTTGAAAATGTGGTTTTAGTTCATAGCTGGGAGGCAACAGCAGGGTTCTCCATTCTCCCTTCTTTCTCCCCATAGCCACTTACTGCCCCCTTAAATCCCAACTCCTCACTGTGGCATTCCCACAGGGACAAGAACCATTGCTCACTTAGCCAAGTCATTCTGATGAAATTGTGTCAGTTTTCAGCTGCCAGCCATCTTTCCTACAGCAGCCTTCCATGCCCCTTCCAAAGCACCAAGAGTACTTTGAAGGTCACAGTTCAGCACGTTAAACAAAGTTGCCCTCACTGTGAGAATTTTAATATTTGAAATGATAGGGGACTACTGTCATCACCCCCAAACTCACACAACATGATAGTTTGGTGGAGAAGTAGCCCAAATGCAAGAGTACTCTTTTGTCTGCATAAGGCTGGATTCAATTCTCAGTGCTGGAGAAAAAAAGTGTAATTTTAATCACATGGCACTCATCCCACACTATCATTTTCAGGTACATATTGCCTTGCACTGTCCCTGGCCAGCATCCTCTTCTTGGCCACAACAGATTTTAAGATTAAAAAAAAATCATGGGGATGGAGGGGCTCAGCAGTTAAGAGCACTGTCTGCTCTTTCAGAGGACCTGGGTTGGGGTCCCAGTATCCACATGTTGGCTAACAGCCATCTGTAACTCCAGTTCCAGGGGATCTGAAATTCATGCAAGTAAAACAATTAAAAAATAGATACACAAATACACACACACACATCATGCAAAGTCCTGGTTTAGAAAAGGCAAAATAAAGGCAACATTTCTTGAGCACATATTTGTGCCACATATACAAATATACATTCTCACTGCTTCTCACACCAACCCTGTGAGGTAGGTAGTTTTTTTCCCTTTTACGCATTAAAAAAAAAACTCTTTTGGACAATATAGGTTCTTCAATTTTCTTATCAAAATTAATGTCCATTTATTTACTTTTATCCTCCTTACTCTGGAGATTTTGACAGCTAGGCACCAGAAAAGTCTGCTTCCACTCAATATTAATACAATGAACATTTCACAGTGCTTCAATGGCTGGCTGAAAATTAGAGGCTACCATCCTTCCAATCTGATTAGTTCTCTAGCACATGTTAATGCCCATCTGAGATACTCACGTACACATGCACACACAATTTTCATCACTGTTCTAACTTTGTTTCTCTAGGTTTGTTCTCCTTAGTCTTATGGGATGGGAACCAGGAAGTAAATCTGATGGACACTGTGTTGACTGTTCATAATCATGAAATGGCTCCTCCAGCCTCTAGTTAAAAGTAGTACCAAGCAGGGTCCAGTTGTCTCAGAGTTCAGTAAAAGGAGACTGTCGTTCTCTTACCGGTAGTCAAGGAACAACTGAGTATTTTTTTAATAGCTCTCTAACCATTCATGAAGGGACAGGGACTAAGGAACTTCTGTTTCCTCAACACAAAAGAGACAAGATCTTTCCTTGACAATGAACTTGGTCCACCCTATACTCCTCAGGAAAAAAAAAAAAAAAAAAAAAAAAAACTTGAATTTCTCATGAATTCCTATATTGGGTTGTTATTTATTCATGCCATTCTGACTTCTTTGTACTATGTTAATAGTTTAGGTAAAAACATTTTCAGTAGTGAACCAGCCCTGAGTGGAAGGACTTTTCCTTAGTCAACAGTCATGGCAGACTTTTCACATGTCCTTTGGAATGACACTGTTCACCCCGTTGACCTGGACCTGCAAGACTAGGACAGCAAAATGAGACTGACAGCCATTCTTAGCTCAGATGTATATGGTTGCAGAGGTAGAGCCTCATCCAGCAGCATTGCAGATTTCTAGGGAAATGTCACGATCCCTTGGTAACCCACTAGGAAGTCCATTCTCTCAGTTCGCTGAGGAACGAGTTCCGTGCAAATATCATTACCCATAAATGATTCTTGTCTGGGGTTGGGGAGCATCAAAGGACACTGTATCTGTAGGAAAGACTCTTTGCACGGATGCCAGCCACATCTGCATACAGTTCTGGCACAACTAACTCTGGCACTTGCAACACAGCCTTGTCATTTGAGGCTCTAGAGGCAGCTTCTAGGTGCAAGCGCAGCTCTCCCGGTAAGGGACGGCTGTCCTCACTCCAGCGCCAACAGGACTTCATAATGCTGTACCTGAAATGGGTACAACGGGAACAGGTGAATGTGAAAGGCAAATACCACCCTCTGCCAACAAAGCCAAACAACAAAACAAAACCCTGCCATTCTTTAATCTTTCTGCCCTGTCTCTATAGACTTTCCAGAGACTGATACTCTTCCACATTCTCCATATGAGTCTCCATGTCACCTTCTCAGTGTGGCTCCTCTAACAGTGGGATGACTGGAGATTTTTCAAACTACCAAGAGTGACAGGAGACCTGGGCATGGTGGCACATTCCATTAGCCCTAGCACTCAGGAGGCAGAGGCAGGCATTTCTGTAAGATCAAGGCCAGCCTGGTCTACATGTGGAGTTCCAAGCCAGCTGGGACTACAGGGAGACCCTGTCTTAAAAGAAAAAAAATGACAGGAGAGTTTGTCTTTTTCACCATACATTGTACAATAAAGTTAGAGGGCTGGGCGTTAAGTACATCTGTGTTACCCTACAGCACGAGATGGAACTGTCATTCTCTTTTATTGCTGCACACAGTTTTTACTGATTTTCATGCTGCTGCAAGATAGCGCTTCAGCAAAATATTAAGTTCTCAAAGGTCAGGTACTTTGTCTGAAGTTTCTCTCCTAGTCTCAAGGCCTGCCTTTCACAGAGAAAGCCTGGAGAGATGGCTCAGCGGTTAAGAGCACTAGCTGCTCTTGCAGAGGGTTCCATTCAGCACCCACATGGCTTCAGTTCAGCACCCACATGGCAGCTAGGAACAATCTGTAACTCTAGTTCCAGAAGATCCGATTACCTTTTCTGGCCTCTGCAGTCATTGCACGATATGGGTGCACTTAGACACATGCAGACGATACACTCATACACATAAATAAAAATTAAAAATAAATAATAAATAAACATTGATCAGCAGTTTAAATATAGCATACCAGCCAGCATTATTGTATGGTGTGTACATATATATTTGTACACATGTACATACAGCTAAGATATTGAAATTTTGTAATCTGTTGCTATGTTCTCTAAGTCTCTTTGAATTTCATTAATAAAATTCTATATGCAATTTAAATTTTTTTCATTTTCTGTCTATTCCTTGGTTAATCAACTATACCCTTGTCCATCCTTCTGCTTTTCTGATTTCTTCTGCCTTATTCTATTTGGCTTCTGTCATGCTGAGTGTTGGGAAACAGAGTCCATAGATTCTAAAAGTAAAATAGAAGAAACAAGTATACTCCCAAAGAATAATTCTCATACAATGCAATTTTTTTAGTGTGGTACTGGAGATCTAGCTCAGGGCCTTGCAAATATTAGGCAAGTACTCTATCACTGAGCTACTTCCCTGGACCCTACAATGGACTTCACAGCCAATTTAGAACTGAGACTTGCAGATAACTGCCATTTAGACAAAAAAAAAAAAAAAAAGCAATTCTGAACCTGTGCTGCAATTGCAATATTTCTTATTTTAGAGGCTTCCTGTGGAACTAAAAATTAGATTCCCAATAGAGCTCTTGGTGTTTTCAATATTGTGTGAGGACATGTGTATGTATACATATGTATATATGATAAGTATGCATCTATGATATTTTATGCCTTGAATACACAACATCCCCATAGGCTCATTTCTGAGTGCTTGGTCCCCAGCTGTGGTACTATTTTGGAGGCTATGTGCCCTTTAAGACATTGATTTGGCTAGTAGGTCATTGGGGTCAAGTCTTTAAAAGTGATAGCCACTCAAACTACAGCCTATGTTCTCTCAACTCTGGTCCACAACCATGTGAATCAATTGTTTGTATGCTCCTGCCGCCACAGAGTGAGGAGCTCTGCTTTGCCTTCCCCACCATGAGGGACTGTACATCCTGAAACCATGAGCCAAAGCAAGCCCTTCTTTCTGTAAGTAGTTAGTTAGGTATTTTGTGATAGCAATGAGAAAAGTAAGAAACATAATATTCGAGAAGTTGTGTTTTAACTCACATTTCATCTAAGGTTGTGCATTAGCACAGAAGAACAACTAACAGCCATCTAAGTCAAACTGAAAAGGGCATAATTAATAGGGAGCAAAAATGATTTGTAATTGTAGAAAGCAAGTCTTTAGAAGCTGCTTACATGGCATGTGTGCAGCTACTGGGTCTCTTCATGATTTTCCCTCTCTGAAGATGCTGTAGGATGCTGGTAGGAGGAACTTCAGGATATGGTGGTGCCCCTGCCAACAGAAAAAAATGAGAGCGGCAAGAAAACGTCAGATTCTTGTGAATGTGACCTGAAAATAGCACTGATCTCCACTGAACTGAGACAAGTGCCTGCAAAAGATAAATCATGGGGAAATACTGTGCACAGCATAGTTGCTTCCTTTTGATCAAGTATGGATGCAGCAAATTTTCAGAAAAGGTGTTTTAGGGGAAAATGCCAATTTAACACATCCTGAGTTCTTAGAAGAGTAATAAAATCAGCAAACCAGGAATCAGACCTGACTTCCATTCTTTATAACACGGGAAGGTGAGTAGTTTCTTAATTGAACAGAGACTGATGAATGTGAAGAAAGTATTTTTATGTGTATACAAGGTTGCTCCTGGAATAAGCGTTTGGATTTGAAAACATCCCTGGAATCAGTGTGATTTGGGGAAAACAAATATAAAGGAAGAAAGCCAAAGAAAGTTAAGAAAAGATTGGCAAGGGACCGGGGAGAAGGCTCACCAGTTAAGAGCGCTGATTGCTCTTACAGAGGACCGCGGTTTGGTTCCCAGTACCCACATAGTAACTAACAACCCAACCATCTGTAACTCCAGGTCCAGAGGATCTGACTCTCTTCTGACCTCCATGGGCATTGCCCAACATGGGTGCACTTACATACACACAGATAACACATTCATGCACATAAAATAAAAATAATAAATAAAAAGTATTTTTTAAAAAGAAAATAAGCAGCAGAAGAGGGAAGGAAGGGAATCATTTAGTAGATAGTACAAGAATCCCACTCAGAATCCATGCCAGCCCAATGCAAAGAAAACATTCTCATCCTCCACACTCCAAAAAGGCAAGCTTGTCTGTTCACACCCAGACATGCTATTTAGGAATCATCCTTACCTAGAGTCACCATCTCATAAAGAAGGATCCCAAAGGACCAACTGTAAAAGAAAAGCAATTTGCTTAATTTCTATTTTTACCTTCACTAAAGAGACTTAACTCTACATCAGAAGAAGGAAATGAAAGAGTTAAGGGTGTCTATTTTAAAAACAAACATGCTTCGGTGGATGTTCATAATAGTATATGGACAGCACAAATTGGACTTGATTGGTTTAAAAATGAGGATATAAAGTTGGGTAGGCAGAGGAGATGGGATAAATATGACCAAAATACAATGCATGAAATTCTCAAAGAATTGATTTTTTTTTAAAAAATAAATGAAAATTAAAAGTTAAAAAAGGAAAGCAATAAACTATTAGACAATATTTCTGTCCAATTCTCTTAGATTCTAATCACTTCAAGGACTAAATCTATGTCTTTTCTTATAATTTCATGTTAACAGATACAATTGCTTAAGGCATTATCTCTTTAAAAAGTATACTGGGCATTTTGAAAACAGTCTGTAAGAGTTTGCTGCTGCAAAAAGAAAATGTGTTGGCATAGTGGGGCACATTTGTAATCCCATGCTTAGAAGGCTCAGAAACAAGAGTTAACCAGTTTAAGGACAGCTTGGGCTATATAGGGAGACCGTATCTCAAAAATACTAAGTGAATAAAATGTTGTAAAAATGTATAGGTGAGTCAGCAATATAAAATTAGGTGGAGAAACAAAGTCATCTCAAATTGTTTCACAAATATTTTCAGGTTTTCACTCTACCACACATTCATCATTACAGGTGCTATTTAGACAAGAAATACTACTTATAATTGAGTATGGTGGCATACACCTGTAATCCCTGTACTTGGGAGAAGAAGGTAGAAGGATCATAGCTTATATGTTATTTCTGCATTTTAGAAACCTATCACAAAATAGATTTTCCCCTTCTTCAGAAGACTGATAAATAAATATGTATACATATATTTTAACAAATGATTTGACACATGCATAATATTTTATTTTAAAGCCCTTTGTTTAACAGCCTCTTGATTAAGTGGTCCCATGTCATCGAGTAAAAGCGAGGATACAGTTAAGTCCTCAGATATTGGTATGAATAATGCTTCCAGTTTTGTCTTTCCCACTCAAAGCTGCTAATCTAATTTGCAAGAACCACTTGAAAAAGCACTAAAAAAGGAAGACCGCAGGCAAATGACAAACATGAGGCCTGTCTCCTAATATTTCTGCTTGAGAATATGCATGACTTCAAATGGAGATTTCATCTGCAGACATAACTGGCATGGATCCAGTTATATTCAGAGAAAACATGCAGATCACAAAGAGAAGAGTGGTAAAGGGCAGGAACAAACCATACACGTCTCCTCTGATGCTCGCAGGTCTCTGGAGAAGCCTTTCTGGAGCAAGCCACTTGACAGGGATGGTGCTGATGCGAGCAGGGGAGATGGTCCCTTGGGCATGGAGTTCATAAGCCAGGCCCAGTCCACAGAGCTTAGCAGTCAGGTCACTTTGGATGAGGATATTCCTGGCAGCCACATCCCCATGGAACAGCTGCTTTTCCTGCAGGAATTCCTATCAATATAGGATCAAGATATTCAGCTTTCTGAAGGCCAAAGCTCACAGATATGATGGTCCTAGGTAACCAGATAAGGGCCTATGTAGTCTCATTAAGAATGAGGCTGTTTCTCATTTCCTCCATGCTTCCAAGTGAAGCCATCCATGGCCAAGCAGGAGCTTTGACTTATCTTCACATAGATGGAACTGGTTAAAAAAATATAAAAAAGGAGCCAGGGGATCCTTCCCCATGTGACCCCTGAGGAACAGATCCTCAAATGATCTTAAGAGTAAAAAATGAATTGGTTTATCTGGGCCAACTTCATGGTCTTAAAACCCAAAAGGAAACTATAACCAAAGATTAAAGGGATCAATATAATTCTTTTAAGAGTCCATGTGTATAGCTAAAGGCTACATAACAAGAAACAATGCCAGACAGGAGAAACCTTCCTTTGAGTTGTTGGCCAGCATGGCCCAAGAGACTTCCAGACAGTAACCCAGCATAGAATTTGGAAAATTAACAGCAGACCCCAATCTTATCTAAAGGAATATTGGAGACTACTTGCTGCTGGATGAGGAAGAGCTGATCTTCCTAAAACAAGGAACTCCAGATAGGCTGACTAGACCCAGCAGATGGACAAGCACTGGGGAACAGCTGGGGACACTGACAACACAGTGGACAGTAACAGGGATAACAGTATATGGGCTCCAGTGGGGAGGGGGGCTATGGGAGAGTACCGCTTGGGATGTGGGTGCATAGATGAATAAGATTGTTTGGGATGTTCTGGATGAAATACATACAAAAAAAAATAAAAAATGAGTTATATTTGAGGAAGAAGAATAAAAAATTGCTTCACGTTAATTAGTACATATGAAAAACATTATCACTGAAATCTACCTGATGACTTTATATCCATGCTCAGGTGCCAAGGATCTCAGAAAATAACCAATTGTGACTAGTAATAATAAGATATATAGAGATTAGAGATGCATGTGCAAACATCTGAGTGTTAGTTGCATTAAAAATGAGTTTTTCTGTATGAAAAAGTATATTTTAATAATGAAATAGAGGTCTTTTTTAAAGGTTGAAACCTCATTCAATTTTACATCTTATTTATACTGAGTACAATATTGTATAACTGTAACAATTCAACTGTAAACCTAAAAAATTTACAGCCAATTTTGAAAAAAGATTCATCTTAGCTCAGAAAATTGTTATTGCATACGTCAATGCTGCTGTAATGAAATGCTTCTTCTAATTATGTGGTTATTAAATAAATAATTTTTTTAAAAAAATGGGGCTGTTTCTAAAGCAGGATACTCAATCAGACCTTACATGTAGATTTACCAAACTGAGCAAATAATTCAAGTGGTATTAATACAATAATTTCCCCAAGTGCCTCATACATCCTAGGTGAGCATGTGCCACACTTCCAGTCCAAATCCTGGACTTTGGCAACATGATCACCTCTGTCATCCTTACCCCTGCTTGATTTCACGTTCTCCTCAGATAATACTGAGTATCATACATTTGTGCAAAGGTTCACATCATGTCATTTTATCCCTATAACTGGATGGGGTTAGAGGAGATTTTTTTTCAGTATAATCAATATTTTATTTTTCATTTTTATTGAATTTTGCAAACCTCATACAATATATTTTGATCATATTTAGACCCCTTTCCCTATCTGCAACCCCCCTTAAAACCTCCTCATCTGATTTCATATACTCTGTTGTATATATTAAGTCCTATTGACTCAAATTTGTGTCCCTAAATGCACTTTTGTTTGGGTCCATCCACTGGAGCCTGGTTAACCTATCTAGTATCACACCTTTAAAGAAAATCGACTCTGTTTCTCAGAAGCTATCAGTTGCCAATAGTTCCTCAGATACTGAGTTGGGGCTTCTTACCCACGTCTCCACATCCATGTTAGGATTCTGTATGGCTTGAGCTTACATGGGACTTGTGCATGCTGTCACCACTGCTATGAGTTCATATGACTAACTGCCCACCTGTGTGGAAAACTCTGTTTCCTTGTGGTCACATATTACCTCTGGTTCTTATAATCTTTTTACTCAATTCCTGAGCTTTGGATGGCAGACATTTGATATAGGTGTCCTATTCAGGGATAAGAATATTGGCCAGTTGTGGGTGTTTGAGTTAATCACTATCTGTTTGCTGCATGCAGAAGCTTCTCTGGTGAGTTTAAGGTAAATCCAAATGATCACAAAAGACCGAACAATCCTTATGTAACTGTGACCAGAACCAGGCCTCTCGATTCATAACAAATGCTGTGCATAGACTATACCAGTCTAACATTCTCAAACCAGCCTCCAGATCAAAGCTGCCTGAGAATGTGAAAAAATAAAAAACTAAGATTTTCCATATAGATTCAGTAAACCATTATCTAGGAAGAGAAAGCTGGTGACTTGTATTACAAAGAAAGATCAAAGGATTCTAGCACAGCTAAAAAAGCAGGTGAGAATCACAGCAGCTGATGATGTGCTGGGTCACCTCTCACCTCTCGGGCATGAAGCCGTTCACGCTATGCGGGAAAGGGAGAAAATTCTACATAGCTAAAAAAGCCAGAGATGGAGGGCTCTGGTTATAAAACAAAGACAGATAAGGATATTTACAAGGTTAAGTTAATAGTTTCCAGTCACTGATGAAGAAGGCAAGTGAGTTTTTTATGCGATTATATAGAACAAAGAAATTCTACTATAATAAGAATTAAGGAATGTACAAGGAAATTGGAAATCGTACTATGATAAGAAATGAGGCGCATACAGATTTTGCGGTTGTTAAAAGTCAGAACAAAGACTACTGCTTTGTTACAGATAATGCAGGAGCCTGATGTGGGGGTATATCAGGTCATCAGCTCATCCCCGTAGGGGACCTCTGCAAACAAGGTAGGCTGAACCTCACGGCTCATTTGGTGCACACAAACAGCATAGATGGTTTTCATTCATGTGATGTGTCATGCCCTTGTCCCATAACATTCCCCTCAACTGTAACTACTACTCTTTTAGCTTGAGCCTTTAATGACCTAGCTATCCCTCCAGCCAGCCACTCATTTTTTCTTTCTGTTTTCCTGATTGGCTAGGGGAGCAGCTCAATGATAAAGCTCTTGCTTAGCCAAAGGCCCTGGGTTCAGTCCCCAGTACCACCACCACCAAAAAATGGGGAGGGGGAGTGGCGGAAATTTGAGTCTATTCAGATACCTGATACAATTCACCTATTGTGGCAAAATGCTAGCTTTTCAAAGTCTTGATTTCCTATAGAGAAATGTTTATTTTATTTAAGCAACAGGAATTTATTTTCTTATAGTTAGGGGACTAGAAGTCCACAATCAAAATTCTAGCTGATTCAGACTTTGGTGGAAGTATGGATTTTAATCATGATCATCTGAATAATTTCATAGAAATAGTCATATAAATTTTCTGAGAATTCTGATAAAGGTAAATTTTTCATTAAACTCTAAATTATGTTTCTTACCTCTTGGTTTCATATGAAGATAATGGCCCCGCAGTTGGCCTTTCCTGTTCTTTCTCTTCTATTTGTTCCTTATTTTTTTAAGTATGTATATTCCCTATCCCATTCATTATCAAAGCAAGTCTCCAACCAAACATGTTCTGAACTAGTTTGTCTTGTTTTGCAAGTATAACTTGTAAACTTCTGGTTCCATAGTATCTCACTTACCTTTTCCTCCCTATCTTTTCCATTAAGTATCAAGTAAATAGTTCTTGGTCCTGGCTTTTGAAATCTAAGACTAAGTAAAGTTTAAAAAGTCTTTTCAGCTCATTCTGTTAACCCTAGGTTGGCTATCTTCTGTTTTTCGTGCTGTGTTACCTACATGACTTCATAAAGAAGAGATTGAAGAAACTCTTCCCGTAACCTTACCTGATTATCTTTAAAATACATCCCCCATTTAGGATGGCCAGTGTGGGAAATACAGCATAAACTACCAGGCTAACAAGAAAAAAGCCCACTGTCAGTTTCCATTTAGTCTGTTCTTACCAGTGCCAAAAGGACCTGCTTTCCAATGTGATATATTTGCTTTTCTGTGATGTCATAGAGAAGGCCATCCACTGTCATTACATCCTAAAGAGATAGGTAAGTAAAAACTTTAATCAAAATTACATCAACATCCTTGATTTTAAGTATTTTTTAATTTTTATTTTATATGTCTGAGCCTGCATGTATGTAAGTGCACCCATGTCATGCAATGCCCATTGAGGTCACAAGAGGACATTGGATCCTCTGGAACTTGAGTTAGGATGGTTGTTAGGCACCATGTGGGTGCTCAGAACCAAACCCAAGTCCTCTGCAAGAGCAGCCAGTGTTCTTAACCGCTGAGCCATCCCTTGAACTGTTACAGCCTTGATTTTAAAACTTGCAGAAGAGGTACTCTTGAAGGACAAATATCAAAGCTAAGGAAAACAAGAACAGGGATTAAGACTCAGAGAGACAGGGTCTAAAGAGATGGCTCACGGGGAGCCTGAAAAGCACTTCCTTCCCACATAATGGAAGGAGAGAACCAGCTCCCCCAAGTTGTCCTCTGACATTCTCCACATGTGCACTGTAACACACACACACACACACACACACACACCACACAAACAAACACAGATAAACAAATGTAAAAGAAGTTTTTAAATAATCAGAGAGACAGACATGAGAAGTGATTAGGTATGCAGAGGATGCAATTCACTGAACTTAAGAAATGTTAAAGAATGCATTTGAATAGCAAGAAGGACAAGTAGGTTTAATACATGCCACTGGATAAGGCAGCAGTTTCTCTGGAGTTGTGTGTGTGCAGACATGCATCTGCATGATTAATATAGCACATTATCTCAGTGCGGCTTTGTTGAGGGTTTGTAATGTGCCAGTCTCCCTGTTAGAAACTTGGTACTCAAAAATGAAGAAAATACAATACAAAAAGATCAGAATTAACTTGTCGTAGTTTGTAGGTGGAGGCAAGCACCCATCTTTAAGTCTGCACAGTCCAATGTAGTAAGTCACCAGTCAGTTATGTATGTCTATTCCAACTCACATTATTTAAAATTAAACAAAATGAAAAGCTCATTTGCTCTTTCACCTGCTATATGTCAGATGTTCAGTAGCCTCAAAGGACTCGTGACTACCTGAGCACCAAGCAGATATAGAACTTTTTGGAATCAGGGTCTCAGGTAGCTCGGACTGGCTTTGAAATGCATATATAGTTGAGAATGACCTCAGTGCTGGGATTACAGATGTGTGCCACCACACCCAGTTTTATGCCATGCTGAGGAACAAGCCTAGGGTCTTGCATATGCTAGGCAAGCACTCTACCAACACCACCACATCCCCAGCCCTCAGAAATGGAATAGTTCTGTCATTGCAAGCAGTTCTATTCCAAAGTGATAATTATTCTGCTATACTCTTATATTGTGTCTATAGGTTGTCACTTGTGATGTTAATTGATATGTGACCAGACATGCAAGCAAACCTGTCCATCCTGACACCTCTATCCTACTGCTCACCCTGCGACAGGTCCAGAGAAAGCTTAGCAGGTCCCCTGGGGTGACATCCTCCAGCACCATGTAGAGGGGCAGCCTTTCTGTGCAGCAGCCTTCCAGCTGTACCAGGTTTTTGTGTTTCCCAAGATACTGATGGAATTGGATTCGCCCTACAAAATCCTGGACCTCCTGGAGTCCAGCTGGTTCTGTGAAAGACAGAAGAATCAGGGCAGTGAACAGTCACAGCAAAACTGATGAACAGGAGTCAAAGAGCAAGAGATACTTTGGGTAGTGATTCTCAAGGGCCATTAGAGAAGAGGGGACCAATAGGGAGGACGTGCAGGTAGAAAGGAAGTAGAAAATGAACCATTTGGAAGAGACTGATGCTCAGTGTCACTGGTTCTTTGTCAGAAATAACAGAATCATTGTCTTAGAACTGGATAGGTTTTCATCTGCGTAAACTGACAAAATGTTTTGTTCACATGAAAACATCACCATCTAGGCCTTTTAATATTTTTGCATATCTTAGCCCTTTCTTGTTTTGTGTTCTTTGTATTTACTACTAATGATATGTGTGTGCTTAATCTATAAAGGTTTTTAAAAGGCCTTTCAGATATGATAATGTTTGAGAAAGACTTAGAAGCAATTGTGGAGCAAACCATGCTAGTGAGAAGTGTGTAGAGGGAGCAAGATGTGTGAAGGACTAAGAAAAAGTACACTTGAGATGTTTAAAGAATGGAAGATATGGGGGGGGAGAGGGAGGGAGAAAAAGAGAGGGAAGGATGGAGGAAGGGAGGGATAAGGACAGAAGGAAAGAGAGAGACACAGAGACACAGAGACAGACAAAGAATAACAAGAAAGACCAGAAAGATGCTCAAAGGGAGAAAGATGTCAGGCCATGCAAGCCTGACAACTCAAGTTCAATCTCTGGAAGCCACAGTGGAAGAAAAGAACAGACTCCATGAAACTGTCCTCTGGCCTCACATACTGGCAAGTGTTCGCATTCACACATATACATGCCCTACTCACACATTAATAATGATCAATAAAATAAAAAATTTTAAAGTACCAAATAGTTTTTTAAAAATGAAGAAACAATCTTAGAATCCTAAACTAAGTAATATCTAATATGTAAAAATCTGTTTTAACAGCTTCAGTAGGCAAGGATGAGCAGAGATCAGGATCAATTAAAAAAATGTCTCGAGCTTCCCCCTCAATCCCTCATACATAATTGCAATCATAGTATCAATTGATAAATACCTTAATGTTTGCAATTCCTGTTAATATTTACTGTTCCCGTATCAAGTGGAAAAGTAAGAATGGGAGGGAAGTTGAGCACTTCTCACTTTACCTTCTAGAGCCTTGAGGACAACGTGCTTGGGCTTAGGAGGAGCCCCGGTGTTCATCGTGGCTCGATAGAAGGTCCCACAACTACCGTTGTGCATGTGCTCCAGAACTTCAGAGAGTTGCTCCCTGGGTGCCTGTAGGGTGGCCAGGGTAGGCATGATAGCATGTAGAAAGCTTTCCACTGTTGTCTCCCTGAGTGGCACAAGCACTCTTTCTCCTTGTCCTGCTGCTTCCTGGCTGAGGCTCCTAGATGGAGGCACAGGGGCAACACCTAGAACAAAGAGATGATACCCACTCATTGATCCCTGCTCCAGGGATGACAGAAAAGCAGACTGGAACAAACTGGTCAGGAAGTTCCTTTTGTAATCTCTCTGGCTAACATGAAGGCATCTTCTGATATCTCTCTATGTATGAGTACTAACATTGAGCTTGTAGAACCTTTAGAATAATTCTATTACTTCTAGAACAACTCAAGATAAAACCCTTAAAAGTGGTCATGTGTTTCTTTTCTACCATCCTTAAGATTACCTTCAGTATTCCCCACAAATGTAACATAGAAACAGGGAGATTCCTGAGAACAAATTCACACCAGATACCAAAGGATGGTGGGACTGACCTTGTATCAGTCACAGGGCTTCCAACATTGAAGGAGGGCTATGGGTAGTGACTCAGCTGTAAGCTGTGGCTATTCTTTCTTCTATATTTCCATAAATCTTAGTCAAAGGGTCTTCTGAAATTTTCTCCCTTCCATAGTTACCATGTAATTTTTCCAATTTTTATATTATGTGTATGAGTGTTTTACATGCATGTATATAAGTGCACTACATGCATTCAATGCCCACAAACGTTAATAGAGGGTATCAGATTTCCTGCTGAGAACTGAACCCAGGTCCTCTACAAGAACAATCAGTGCTCTTAACTGCTGAGCCATCTCTCCAGACCCTGAAAGGTTCATTCTTATTAGCCAACTATTCATTAATTTACCCATTTACTCAATAAGTATCACCAACTGTATAAGTTGATGATAGGCACAGTCCAGATTTACCTATGACTATGTCCCAGTCATAGAGCTGATCATAATAATAGATGAGGCTACTGGGGCAGTGGCAAAAGGAGAAGCACCAGCAGTGATACCATTTTACCTATAAAGGTCAGAAGAGGCCATTAGAATATGGTACCATTTGAGAAAGACCCGGAAACAATTATGGAGTAAACTCTGCCAGTGCCGGGTAGATGTAGGCAGAAGGAACACAAGCACTCTTGAGGTGTTTACGGAGCACTAAAGAAGCAGTGCAGCTGGAGCCAAGTGGACAACTAGAGAGCTGTGGGAGATGGGGCCAGAAAGGCCAGATGTAGAAAGCCAGGAGAGGAACCTTGTCACTTTTCATTCTGAGAAAGACAGGAAGCTTTTGGATGGTTTCAAACCACGGAGAACTGACAGACCAGTCGAGGCCTTCATGAATCATTCTGGTTTTTCTGGGGGAAAATAGATCTTCATAGGATTAGTGGAAAGCTTAGAGAAAGCTATTGGGAGTGCACTGCAACAATTGTGCAAGACAAGACTGGCTTGGGTTTATTATATGCAAGTTCTGTGTATGGGTTTGATATGGACCATAAGAGAAAGGGGAATTGAGGATATCCTCAAGATTGAAAGCATAGACCAGACTTACCACTCACTAATATAGAGAAGATGACTGGAGGATGATACTTGTACAGAAATGTCAGTACTTTGGACATATTTCATATGAATGGAATTCTATATTCATACTGCAACATAAATGGATAATACAATGGGTGTTTGGGAGACCATAATAAAATTAGCTGAATAGAAAAATATCTGGGGGCTGGAGAGATGGCTCAGCAGTTAAGAGCACTGGTTGCTCTTGCAGAAGACCCACGTTCAATTTTCAGCACCCACATGGCAGTTAAGAACTGTCCATAACTCCAGTTCCAGGGGATCCAATGCCCTCTTTTGACCTCCGCGGGCATTGCATGACATGGGTACCCTTACATGCAGGCAATACACTCATACACATAAAATAAAAAATAATAAATAAAATATTTCTTTAAAAAGGAAAAATATCTGAATACCTAAGACTGAAAATTGTACCATCTTTAAGAAGTGACTTTGGGCATTTTGTTTGTTTGTTTGTGCTTTTCAAATATATTCTGAGGATGAAGCACAGCATTGTTTCAGCAACTTTGGACAGATCCAGTAATATGTGAACTAAGAATTGACTTTGGACTTGCCAACATAGCTGTTATTGATGAGCTTGGAAAGAAGAGTTTTGGTGACATAGCAGGTATCACCACCTTATTTTTCTGCACTCAAAAGAAAATACGGTGAGTGCTCACACCACTCCTTCGTAAAATGTTCTACAGAAGTTTCACGAAGGATTGGCATACAATTTAGAGCAGCATTAAGAACCAGGTACTGGAGTTCCGTGTCACTATCAGGATCTTTGCTTCTTCATACACTTGGCTTCCTGTGTAAGCTGATCCTTTTCATATTATGTTCAGTGTTCCTTAGAGCCTGTTGGTACCCCTGCTTTACAGTAGCATGAAAGTTGCTCTTTTTCATCACATTTTGAGGTAGAGCAGGGATGGAAATTATCCTACAGCAAAATGCTGCCTTTCGTGGTGTTAACAGAGGCTCTGGTGTACCTTTCGGGTCCCCCCCCCACCTTAACACTTGCATCATCATAAATTTAATAGTCAGACAAAAGGAGGTCACAAGAGGCTTTCTCATGCCTACTGTTTTTCCAGTCATCAAAATATTTGTTGTTCCAGCCCATGACCTCGTAGAGAACAGATTCCCCACAATGCTCACCGCACTGGAGAGAACCTATGAGCATTCTCTTTGGAGGTACCATGACTCATAGATTTGGGTCCATTGAAACCTGGCCCCCACTTTTTCTAAAATCAATCTTGACAAAGCCCCCTTCCCAGCCCCAGAGTTTGAGCCTTACCCTGGGGTCCAGGATGCTGCTGTTGGGATCTTTGTCCTCTGATGAAAAGCCACAAGATGATTGCAAGAAGGATGAGGAAGCCACCAACCAGGAGGGCTGGAACAATGACCACTTCGTACTGCTGTTCCTGGATAACTGGGCAGGCAATCGACAGAAGGGAAGACCTCTGAGGCACCTGGCTGTATGCTACACAATTTCTCCTACCCACCAGTCCTCAGTCTCTTGCATCCCCCCTTTCATTTCCTTCAATGGAAACATTATAGGAAACCCAGTCCCTGCTTCTGAACCCATCTTTGTGGATCTGACTGGCACTTACCGCCATCCCACAAAGACAATAATTACCAGTCTCCAGTCCTTTATCGACACTTCCTACATTTCTACTAGAAATGAAATCACCCTTCCTCCTCTAGAACCATCCAAAACTTGGTCTCCATAAACCCAACATCAGAGCACAGGCAGTTTGGGTGTCTGTACTTACTACACAACTTGTCACTGAGACTGCACTCCAAAAGCATGCGGTTCATGTGACCCTTCTCTCCCATCTCTGCAGGGCCACCCATTTCTCTGCTTCACCCACAGAGGATGTATTGAGCACAGCCACTAGAGCGCATAATTTGCAAGGATTGAATTGGTCTAGAAAAAAAGAAAATGGAGCACACATGGAATTGTTAAATGTACCTATGAATATCTAGTTACTAAGCACATAGTGTTAAGGTTCAGATAGCCCTGCCCCCTCACCAACAGGGTCTCACGAGCCCCTGAGAAAAGGGAACTGAGTTGATAAGCACCCTGGTTTTTGAAGTCAAGAGAAGCAGACTTTTCTCCACTGTTTGGCCAACACAGCAGGCTTCCCCTTTGATCTCTAAAGAGGGCAGGTTTTAACAGTCCTGCTCCCCACCCAACTTTAAAAAAAATATGTCTTCCTGCCTTCTGTAGGAAGCAGAAGCCTCCCCCCCCCCTTTAAAAAGGCCCCAGCTCACCACCCGGGCACACATTTTCCCTGCCCTGAAGGGAATCTGTCTCATGTGTTCCTTTGCTAATAAACTCTATTCTGATGGAGTTTTATCTGTCTCCTGGTGCTTTCTCCTGATCAACCGGATTCTTCATAGGCTACTTTATCAGATGGTGCCAAAACCCGGTTCTTACTTCAAGGGACCCACCTGGACTCCTCCAACACCACTAATTTGGCTTTCAGGTGCACTCCCACCCTCTTTTCTCTCTCTCCTCGCTCCCCAGCTCTCTGCTTTGCTTTCACCTCTTTCTGGCTCTTCTCACTGGGGAACACACTGCCTGCGTCTTCTTTTGATCTCCTTTCACATTGATTTCCTTCACTGCTGTCTGGGATGGAGCTGCTTCATCCGTTCACTACCTTGGTGCCCCCCCCATGCTCGCCACCTGCATCTCACCCCCTCCCCTACTTCTTTGCCATGGGCTTGGAAGGTCTGCTGTCTTCCATCGTTTTTTCCTGTCCTTCTCCTCTTCCCTGCCCTGTGCCTGCCAGCCCACCAAGTGTCTGACCTCCCATGCAGGCTCTAAACCTGTATGACCCCAAGGCTTTTTTTCCCTTCCCACTATTCACCCCCTCCAAGGCAGCTGCCAAGATTGCCAGCTTGCCTGCCATGGGGATTTTTTCTTTAACATTCTAATACAATGATAAAAGTTTCCAGCTGGGCCCATTCTTAAATTCTCTTATAAATGTGGCTAAGAACCCTTTAGGGGACCCTTTCTCCCTGTTTTGACCCACATAGGCAAAACAGGCTAGGCAACTTTGCTAGAGCATTTAAAGAATTTCAGGTAGCTTGCCCCATTAACAAACAGAAAAATGTTTTAGCAGCTTTTTTTATCCTAAACTTATTCTCAGGCAAAGGGGCTCGAAATTTTGATCTTAGGCCCTCTTGGGCATCAAGCAACTGGTGCTCAGGTGCTTACTTTTCTAACTAGACCAAACAATTTAAATTTCACTATGCACAAAAGTCACAGGCACTGCTCAGGGGAGTCATATGCTTTCAGACCAACAACCACTGATGTATATGACCTGTTGCTTCTGCTGCCCTCATGAGTTTCCTTTCCAGCATAGCGTGTGTCTAGAAATTAAGAGCTCCTGAGAACTTGGCTTCCCATTCACAGCTACAATGGTTGGTGAGAAACATGGATTCCTGTGATTTACTTTTTTATTTGGGTCATATATACATACATACATATAT